TCTTAATATCTTATGTTAGAATTTCTGTTTGTTTCATCAATATTTATAATATAATACAAACTTCAATTATTAAGTATCAATTATTACTTTTCGCCATTCATGCCATTCTTTGGACGGTCCGGGATGCTGTTCAACATAGTTTGGCATTCCACCCACATTTTTTTTGCTATAGCTGTTGTGAAATTTATGGAAAACTTTCCTTTCCTTAGATCGGGGTGGTTTTCCATAAATTCTACCAAAGCTTCTTTCTGTGCCGGTGTTATAGACTTTCTCGTCATCGTACAAAAAAAAAAACAGAAGTAAGAAAAAAAGAGAAACAGGGATCGAGAACGGAAAGGTCGCTATAAAAAAAAAGAGTGTAATATTGAAATATTATTTTGTATTTTGAATTTCCACGAATTGCGCGTGCTCATAAAAATTTCGACCAATGAACGGACGGCATTGCGACGTTGCCGTTCCGCACCATTCGAATAATATTCGTGCACGACCAGTTCTATTACCAACTATTCTATTGGCGTTCAAGAATACGGTTTTGAGTTGGTAGTAGAATGGTTCGTATACGACTACCGTTCTACTACTTTCAAGAATAGGCCCCCAGGGATTTTAATCTCGAGATCGATCGACAAGAAGTCGTGTGCGACTAAACTCGAATGATTATGTTGTAGTCGACTGCAAAACGCTATTCTCCAAAAGCATTCGACTAAAATTAGTCGCATTCGAGATTATGTCGACTAGTAATAATCTTGTCGAGTGAACCACAATGGTATAACCTAAAATTAATTTATTATCAGAAATATTCCCGCCAAAATATGAAGTATTGATACCACGAATTAAGATATATCTTAATTCTTGATTGATACTGATTGTTACTAATCAAATTGTTTAATTGTTAATTATTTTCATACCTAATATAGCTATTATTACCTATTATATTACCATATTAAATTTAATTTGTCATGCCTAATTCATAACGATCTACTGACTGTCTACTCATCGTTACTCGTCTAGTCGTTTCGTCTGTCATCATTAATTTGTCTTTTCTGTCGTTATTACTTATTAATATTTAATTAGTCACTCGTCTAGTCGTCTCTTCAATTTATTTAATTTACAATAAGGACATAAGGTAGTACATTTTTTGAATTAAAGGTGTTGATCTCAGTACGATAGTCATAGGTGGTCCTACGAGTGCAGCCACTGCACCTGACATTGCACTTTTTAACCACCATATTTCTTTTATTGTTTGTTATCATATAATTATTCATAACTCATAGTTAGGTACTTTATAATTTATATATCTTTGCATAAATCTATACAAAGATATATTTTTCTGATCAAGAACTCTGTTGTTAGTTGTTAGATTGTAGTTCTTATGATAAATCATGAATAGCCTTCAGATCACAATGTAGAGGAGATCTTCTCTACACCGTGATGGATATTATATTACTACTATGACACTATTCATTAGTACTATCATACATGTTAGTCGCATTCAATTTCCGTTTATGCCATTTACGCTTTTATGAATTTTAGATCCTTACTCGTTATCTTTTAAAATTGTTAAATTATTGATAGGTATTGATCTTAATTTATTTATTAAATTATTTATCATGATGAGTATGCACAAAGCATAGTACGAATATGTTATAAAGTACGTGATTTACTGATTTTTTTAAGCCTAAAACTGTGAAAAAAAATTGGACGTGTATTATCTTTGTCTGTTTCGATGGTACAAGTACCATGCCTACTACTAGGTACAGTATTGGAGAAGTACAAGCGTGTAAAGTGGAAAATAAAAATATTCTATATTATGTCCACTTTTTGTCCACAGCTATGCTCACTGTCTTCATTTGGCCCTAATAGATTCTATATGTGAAAAGATAAATTCATCATCCAGTTTAAAAATTAATGGATGTATATTTAATTTTGTTGATACTATACAATGTATTTATATTTTTATCGAAGGAAGTCCTAGAAGAAATGTTATTCTAGAAAATGTAATTGCTTAATTTGGTCATAGATTTACAACATTGAAATTATTATCTATTATATTGTGTGTGTGTGTGTGTGTGTGGTATAGGTAGGTTATAGGAATGTTTGTGTATAATCAAATGTGCTGCACCTGAAGTAAAATCATGGGACCGCCTCACAGTGGTCTGAAAAGTAAATTTAGCTTACATAAAATAAAATTATTATTGTTTATTATAATATAATTATTATTATTATTATTATTCAAATATCAAAAACAAAGTCAGCAAGCAAAATCAGCCAAGCAGTCAATCACGGAAAAATCAAAATGTGGAACATGCGGTCGATCAAACCACACACAAAAAGAATGCCGATGCAAGGACTACAGTTGTAATATTTGCAATATCAAAGGTCATTTGGCTCCTATGTGTAAAAGTAAGAGCAATAAACCAAAGTATGATAACCACTCACACAATAAATTTTTATCCGAAAATTCTGGTAATAACACGAATGAAAATATTCATGATGACGCAATCGCGTACAATTTATCTGACACTTTTTTTAATATGATTGAAAATAACTTTCAAAATAAAGTAAAACCGTACATAATCAATTTATTAATTGAAAATAAAGATTTAAAATTTGAAATAGATACGGGGGCTGTGCATAGTGTAATGTCAAAACAATTATATGATACAAGTTTTAATAATTTAACTTTATTACCAAACGATATTTCACTACGCGATTACGTCGGAAATGATATAAGCCCAATAGGAAAATTAATAGTAAATGCTAAATATTTGAAAAAGTCTTTTAAAATGTGCATTTACGTAATACAAAACGGAGGACCGCCATTAATTGGTAGAAATGATTTAAAAATAATAAACTATTCTCCCATTTATAACACTATAAATGTAAACGAAAATATAGAGAATATATTAAAAAATTTCGATCATTTATTCAAAAATGAAATCGGCACCTTTAATAAATACCAAATATCGCTAAACATTAAAAAGGGGGCAATACCCAAGTTTTTCAAGCCAAGGTCAATTCCTTTAGCACTAAAATCTAAGGTAGAGTCGGAAATTGATCGTTTAATAGATAATAATATTTTAACTCCCGTGAACTACAGCGAATGGGCCACTCCAATTGTTCCAATTCTTAAGCCCGACGGTACAGTTAGAATTTGTGGAGATTTCAAAATTACAATCAACCCCGTATTGGAAGGAACTGAGTATCCCTTACCAAAAATAGAACATCTTTATGCGAATATAAGTGGCTCAAAATATTTTTCTAAAATAGATCTCAAAGATGCATTTCAACAAATGGTAATTAAAGAGAGTGATCGCAAATACACTACAATAAATACTCACAAAGGCCTATTCAGTTATACTCGAAATCCGTTCGGAATAAAAAGCTCAGCTGGGGAATTCCAAAAAGCCATGGAAATATCAACCACAGGCTTAGAAGGGATTGGTATATTTCAAGACGACATAATAGTTACGGGAAAAACGGTAGAAGAACACAATAATAGATTAAAAAAAATTACTTAACGTTTTATCCGAAGTTGGTTGAAAACAAACGTAGTTTTCTCAAAAATTCAATTGAATATTTAGGTCATAAAATCGATGAGCATGGCTTGCACACCTTAACTAAACACATAAATGCAATACAATCTGCCCTGGTTCCAGAAAATAAAACTATGTTAACATCATTTTTAGGTTTAGTAACATATTACATTAAATTTGTTCCAAGAGCAGCGGACATTCTTAAACCGTTATACTCATTACTAAGACAAGAAAAAAAATGGCTATGGTCACCAGAATGTGATCAAGCATATAATAACATAAAAAAAATGCTTATCTCAAGTCCTGTGTTAGCACATTATGACCAAAAACTTCCCATAAAACTCACGGTCGATTCTTCGTCATACGCACTAGGTGCAATCATATCGCACACTTATCCTGACCACTCAGAAAGACCAATTGCATATGCATCACGAGTATTGTCAAACAGTGAATGCAAATTTCCACAAATCGAAAAAGAAGGTCTAGCCATAATTTTTGGTGTTCAAAAATTTTACGATTATTTATACGGTAGAAAATTTACATTAGTTACTGATCACAAACCGTTAATCCACATATTTGGAGAAAAAAAAGGAATACCAATTTATGCGGCAAATCGCTTACAACGTTGGGCATACGTTCTTTCTTCATTTTGAAATTAAGTATATTAAATCAGAAGGAAATACTGCTGATTTTTTATCACGCATTAAAACAAACCAATGCAACAATAATATTAATGAATATGACGACTCACATTAATTTTATTCACGAACAGTCACCATTTCCGCTAGATTGGCACAAAATTAAAATTGAAACGAAAAGAGATCCAATTACCTCTAGAGTATTACACGCTACAAAAACAGGTTCATGGAGTAATGACTTTTCAATAAATTCCGAATTAAACTCGTATAATACACGCAACACAGAAATTACTGTTGAACAAGATTGTTTATTTTGGGGCTATAGAGTAATCATACCAACCAAATTCCGTAAGTCAATTCTAACTGAACTGCATTCTTGTCATATTGGCATGTCGAGTATGAAAAGCATTGCGCGTTCGTATTTCTGGTGGCCTAGTATAGATAAAGAAATTGAGGATATGGTCCGACACTGCAATGAATGCATAAATGCGAGACCTAATCCTCCTAAGTCAGTACTAACTCCGTGGAAATGGCCACAAAGACAATGGACGAGAGTGCATTGCGATTTCTTAGGTCCATACAAAAACAAAACATTCTTAATTATTGTCGATGCAACCACAAAGTGGCTAGAAGTTTTTCAAGTAAATTCGATGACAGCACAAACGGTCATAACAAAACTGTCTGAGTTAATTGCACGTTTTGGCATTCCCAGAACAATAACAACTGACAATGCAAAATGTTTTAATGGATGTTTTAACTGAATTCCAGTCATATTGCAAGACACTAGGTATCAGGCACTTGACAGGGGCACCTTTCCACCCAGCCTCAAATGGATTTGCCGAATCTGGAGTAAAAATAGTTAAGCAATTTCTAATAAATGTTCAACATCATTACACCATTTGAATAAATTTTTATTGATGTATAGAAATACTGTACACTCAACCACAAATGAAACGCCAGCAAAACTTATGTTTGGCCGCTCAACACGTACTATTTTTGATTTATTAATCCCAAACACAAATGAAGTAGTTATTAATAACCAAATTACACAAATAAAAAATTCAGGAGAAAGAGATATTAATATAAAAGAGGGTGATTTGGTATTAGTTAAGGATTATCGAAATAAAAATGAAAATTGGCAAAAAGGAAAAATAACAGAAAACATTAGTAAAAACACTCATAAAATCATACTAGACGAGGGTTCTGAATGGATAAGACACACTGATCAGATATGGCCACACAACCAAATAAATAACTCACTGTCACCTACACCAGCTAGACAAGCAAATGAAAATTCTAAAATTACTGAAACAGTAGGTGAAAATTAAAATCCCGATCCGGCCGATCCCGTAATAGTAAATAAAACACCCAGACCAATTAGATCTAGAAAACCACCTCAGCGATATTCTCCAAGTGATTATACTTAGGGCAATAATTGCAATAATTAACTATTAATTATATCAGTTATCATATTTTATAATAAATACTCGTATATAAAAAAAAAAATAAATAAATAAATAAATACTAACATATTAATTAAGCACTATACAAAATACTTTATATTTTTTTTAAAGGAAAGAGATGTTGCATATTCAGCATTTACATTGTATACTAAACGTTTATATTAATAATAATAATCATAAGTATCATATTACGATCGGTGGGGATTGTCCATCGGTCATTAGCAAGTAGACAATTTTATATGTACGTCAGTTCGTTTTATACTTTTCACAATAAAAGACTATAATATACGTTTGTGTTAGTATTCATATTAACAATACACACCACAAGGTATATATAAGTATAATACTAATAATTATTATTACCTGCCAAGTTTTGAAGTCTAAACGATATGACACATGTAATAGACATTCAAAAAATCTAATCCATGCATGTAATGTCGATAAACCAAATTTAAAATGATCCGGTTTAGTACTTAACTTTAATACTTTATCAATATCATTGGCATGTTTTGGAGTACAACCACAGATATAACATGTTTGACTCGAAGTAAAAGTCATCGAATTGCATACCTATATGTACATAAATTATGCATATTTTTTTATTTTTTCTAAAAAGGAATAGTTCCAAAGTATTATATAAAAAATACAAATAAATTTACCTTTCCATCAACCATTGAAAAAATTAGCTTGTGCTCTACTTTCAAATTACCATCATTATAAATTAAATCTATTGTATTTAAGTTATCTTTTTGTGTTTCTACATTATTCACTTCTTCTCGAGTATTATCGGCGGTTTCTTTTTTTAATAAAAATTTGATAGGTGCAGAATCTTGTTGAAGAAGTCCTTGGATTTTTCCAAATAATAAATTTGTTGTCATCAATCGTGCAACTCATTTGCAATGGTACAAAGAAAACATAAACATATCGCTATCTGTCACCGATTGTTTAGTAGATGAATCAAAATTTATTCTGTACTGTGATTGACCATTCCTTCCATCACACCCCCATTTAGAGAGTAGTTCACACTTTTCTATTTTAATATTCATACTTTGAACACTAGGAATTTGCAGAATACGTTGGGCAGTGTGATTTAATAAACCTTGAAGTGGTATTTTGGCACTACATTCAATTATAATGACATTATTTGGGTAACATTGTTTTTTTGCTATAAGCACTTTGTCATATGACGGATAAATGTTTGAATTTCGAGCTTTAGAACCGATTCGAATGTTTGTGTACTGTTTTTTTGTTAAATTATTATCCATGATAAATGCCATAGGTAGCTTCGTTGGGAGAGTAAGGTATTGGAAGAGATATTACATTAGTATTTTTTAATGATTTTCGCATTTTTAAATCTCGGTTAGGACTAGACGTTAATTCTTTGAAAAGTAAAACTGCAGTTCTTTTTCCCGAATTATGCATTTTAGAGGTTACAGCGTATGTCAATTCTGGAGAGGTAAAACTTTTTACAACATTTGAAATTTTTTGTTTTTTTATTCTTTCTGTGCACGTTTCAAAATTTTTTTTCGGACGACCAACAGTCTTATAATTCATTTGAGATGGAAGAGTTGGTAAAATGAATTCCTTTTTAAGCCATTCAGAATGTTTTTTAGTAAAAACTGTAATTGTCCTGTTACATTGGGACCATTTTCGGTGAAGACTAATAGTAAAAGTGTGTACTAAATTTAAAACTAGGCTTTCAAACTCTGAGCTCCATTCATATCCATTGTGTTTTTCACGGATTTTTTTCAGTAGAAAATGTCTAGATTCAACACTCAGAGGCTTCATTACACCTTCTCCTCGTAAAAAATTAAACAAATCATCGTTGGTTAAATGTTTTGGTTTTTCGCCGCTACTACAGCCTGCTGAAAATGGGATTATAATGAGCACATAGGCAGATAATGGCAGATCAAATTTATTAAAATAAATTATGTAGCTTGTATATATTATAAATAATATAATATACAGATGCAATTTTTTGTAATTTTATAGTTATTGAACTATATACTAACGGTTTATGTATTATATCATTAAAAACACAATTTTATTAATTTGAATTTCTTAACTTAATTAATAGATGTGTATATAAATGTGTTTTAAGTGTACTTATCTTCATACGTACATTCCATTGTATATAAAAATGCAAAAAGAATAATTTTAAAAATTAAAATGTTCTTGCAATAACAGTTTTTTTTTTTTTTACATTTTTAATCGATAACTGGGGGTGGAACCGACGTTAGTCATTACACCCCCCAGTCACCATCATTTATTGAATAACTTTCCAATAACTTCAAGGGAATTACACATGTTTGGGGGGGGAACAACATAAGTGAGAGGCCCCTACTCCTCTCTCAATTTTTTGCCTTCGGCATACATAAGTTGAACTTAACTAGTTTATTTATTTTTTAAGGCTGGTCTGCAGTCTGTCGCCTTCGTTCTTCTTCTTCTTTTTTTCGAAGGACCTCGTTGATGAAGTCGTCTATGGTGGTCCATGCGTCTTTGCTTGACCGCATCACTTCGGTCATGTTATCTGGCGTGATCTCTCTCCCGAGTATCGTGTTCATTCTGGTACGCCTTGAGTGCCATGCGTCACACACAAAAAAGGTGTGGAACGCATCGTCTGATTCGTGGCCGCAATACCAGCACGACGGGGAAGCTAATTTCCCGAAACGGTGGAGGTAATAAGGAAAGCAGCCATGTCCGCTAAGAGCTTGGGTCAGTCTGTAGTTGACTTCGCCGAATGTTCTGTTAAACCATGGGTCTATCTTGGGAATCAGTCGATGGGTCCACCTTCCATTTTCGGCCGAGTCCCATTGTGATTGCCAGTCTCTTATCAGTTTGTTTCTTGCTTCTTCCTTCCGGGCATTTTCAAATATCTCTTGTCTTTCGATGGCTATTAAAACAATTGGGGGCATGTCTGCTATAATCTATATGGCATTGTAAGAAACTGTGCAGTAAGCCGATGCTACTCTCAGTGCTATGCGTCTTTGCACCTTTCCTAATTCGGTTTTTCCTTTTTGACTCATCTTGGGAGCCCAGATGGGAGAACCATATAGGATGATTGAGTGTACTACATTTGCGAGCAGCCTTCTCTTCTTAGGTTTCGCTGCGCTTATGTTCGGCAGGATTCTGGCGAGGTTGTTGGCTACTTTCCACGCTTTAGTGCATGTGTGATTAGCGTGTTCTGTAAAATTCAGTTTTGTGTCCAAGTATATACCAAGGTATTTTATGCACTTAGCGCCGTTTATGCGTGTGCCCCCAAGCATCATTGTGAATTCGTTGTGGACTCTCGTGTTTGTTAAGATTATCGCTTCGGACTTTTTGACTGCTAGTTGTAGGCCGTTGTTCGACAACCAATTCCTCACGATCTCCGCGCCCGCGGACAGCATTCTTTCGAGTTCAAAGGTGTATTTACTTTTCCCAATGAGCGCCAGGTCGTCTGCGTACGCTAGGAACTGTACTCCAGCCGGGAGGGTTTCGCGCAGTAATCCGTCGTATAAGATGTTCCATAGGGTTGGCCCAAGGACCGAACCCTGTGGGACACCGCTTGTAATGTCATCTATTTTTTCGGGTCCACCGTAGTTGTACTGGAGTTTTCGTTCGTGAAGGTAGTCATCGAGGACTCTGCAGAGATACGGAGGTATGTCTTTTGCGTATGCTTCCCGCATTATGATATTCCATGAGGCGGAGTTAAAGGCGTTCTATGTCCAGGGTGAGTACGCCTACTCTTACATCCTTGCCGCAGTTGTCTACAATTGAAACTAACTTATGAATGGCGTGAAGAGTTGATCGTCCTTTTCTAAAACCGTATTGTGTATCAGCTAGGCCGTTCGATGAGTCCAAGTGTTCTCTTATACGATTATCAAGGAGTTTTTCAAAAAGTTTGCCACAGGAGTCCAGGAGGCACAGCGGACGGTACGAAGACACTTCGTCCAAAGGTTTATCACCTTTTCGTAGCAAGACTAGCCTCGCCCTCTTCCACGGTTTTGGGAAGCGGCCTTGATCAATACATTTATTGTACAGGGAGAGTAAGACCTCCGGGTGTGACCTGCATAATATCTTCATTGCTTCGTTTGGTACTCTGTCCGGGCCTGGGGAGACAGAGTTCTTCAGTTTGCTTGCTGCGTGTCTGAGCTCAGCGATAGTGAAATGAGCATCTTCTGGAAGGTCTTGTGGCTATTGTGTCGTGTCTCGTTCCTCGTTTACCGGGAATAAACCTTGGATAATCAGTTGAGCGCGCCCTGGAGTATTGATTCCGGGGATTTTCGAATTTCTGCATAGTTTTCCCATAACTAATTTATATGGCTTTCCCCAAGGGTCCCGCTGTACTTGGTCACATAGATCAGTCCAGGCTTTTTCTTTCGCACGTTTAATAGCTTTACAAAGAACGGCTTTGGCCATCTTTGCTGCTTCTGCCTAAGCTAAGCAGGATTCCCAGCCAGCTCTCTTCCTTTTCCGCTTGTGGACTCGTCTTAGATGATTGGCGTCCTTGCGTAAGCTGCTAAGTTCTGTAGACCACCAATAAACCGATCTTCTTGCTTTTCCTAAGCGCGGCCTGTGCTGGGAGCCGCATATCTGGGTGTAAAACTCAGTGGGAGTGGGTTTAAGTCTAGGTATACTTTCAGTTTGCTAGGGACCACTTTGATGTTTGTGCACGGCTGGATGTCGGCTTCTGCGCTGAACTCCACACAGAAGTGCACGTAATTATGGTCACTCAACGATGTTTCTTCCAAGACAACCCACTTTGTGATGGAGGTTGCTGTGCGTTGGGTTGCGAATGTTACATCGACAATGGACGATCGATTGCCGCTTTGGAAAGTAGCATCCGTTCCCTTGTTACACACGACCATTCCTGATGCCTGGATCATGTCGGCTAGAAGGTCACCTTTTTTGTCGTTTGTGTTACATCCCCATAAGGTGTGATGAGCGTTAAAGTCACCGCAAACCATGACTTCCCCGGTGCTGGCTTTAATGCTTGTTTCCAGACGTCGTAGGAAATCTGTGAAAGCAGCTATGTCCGGTCTTGGTGTCCAGTAGCACGAGTATATCTTTGTACCCGCCAGTCTACACCAAGTGAAACCCATATCCGGTTTACCAAGTTCGTCTATCTGTACTCGACTGTGGTTTATGATGGCTGATTTTTTGGATTGGTCTTGGATCCAAGACCGGTCACATGCTTGATTTTGCTCGGATACCAGGATGATGTCAATATTGAGGTCATCGGCAGTTTTGGAGACCAAAGCTTGGGCTGCTTTACAGCAGTTTAGATTAATTTGTAAAAAATTAATCATTTTGAAGGTTGGGGATCTTGTGTTAAGGAGCGTCTGAAGTCAGCCGCTGCCTCTTTGCTCGCCTTACAGTCGACTGCTAGGTGGTCAGGAACTCCACAACGTCTGCAACAGTTGCTTTTGTCTGAACCTGAACACGTGCTAGCCTCGTGTCCAAATTTTAGGCATCGGAAACAACGTTTTCGTTTTTTGCATAATCTGGTGTTACAGTCAGAGTTGGGCAAAATTTTATCTAGATAATTATTCGAATAAATCTGTATTCGAATAAAAAACTATTCGAATGTTTTTTTTACAATTATTCGAATAAAAATGTATTCGAATAATTTTCAACTAAGATTATTCGAATAAAAAACTATTCGAATAATTTTCATCTATGATTATTCGAATAAATTTTAAAGACGGTTATACGAATAATTCTTAGTTATTTAATTTGATTAAACATACCTAGTTCATAATAAAATAATTTTTTTAGATATTGCTATTATCGATCTATTAGGATTGTTGTAATAATTGTTATGAAATATTACCATTAAATATTATTCATATTATAATATTATAAAACTATTGTTAAAATATAATTTAAAAAAACATATCTAATTTTCTAATTCTTAACTTTCTTCTATTGATAGATATTTGTTTATTGTTTATTCGAATATCTATGTTTAAAATTGAATCGGTTAATTTTTTATTCGAATAACAATAGTTGAAAATTATTCGAATACATTTTTATTTGAATAATTGTAAAAAAAAAATATTCGAATGATTTTTTATTCGAATAATAATAGTTGAAAATTAATCGAATAAATTTTTATTCGAATTATTGTAAAAAAAATTATTCGAATAAATTTTAATTCGAATAATTGTAAAAAAAATCATTCGAATAATAATTTATTCGAATAAAATGTTATCTAAATAATCATCTAGATAAAATTTCATTCGAATAACGCCCAACTCTGGTTACAGTACACCAAACCTACACGTATTCGTCCGATTTTGGTTATCTTCGCCGCATTATCCCAAGGCATAAAAACCAGTGCGGATTGTGTTTCGCCATATGTTTTCCTCATGTTGAGAACTTTTACCGCCTCCCGTGGGGTGTCAGCGTTTAGGACTATTTCTGCGACAAGTTCGTCAATATTTGTGAGGGAGTCTAGGCCTCGGAACTCGACAAGTGATTGTTGCTTAGGTGTCCTTATCACGGTGTCCGTTTCAACTATTTTCGAGACTTCTGCCCGCACTACATCAGCTGCAGGGGACCCACCAGAGACTTGAATCAGTATTCCTCCTGATCTTGTTTGTCGCAGGGCGGAGATTTTGTTTCCGATTGCCTCCATGTTTACACCACTTTTAATTTTCTTTAGAACCTCCGAGTAGTTTTCTGGCTTTGTTTGAACAATTACGACGTCTGATCTGTTTCTGGTACGTACTTCTTCCCGTTTTTCATTTCGGGGGCTTCTTGGACGTTTTGTATATTTCTTTTGGACCGTTTTCCAACCACTATCGTCTCGAGGGCCTTCGGTTCGGTCCGCTTCTAGTTGTAGAGAAATGTTATCGTTTTCCGCCGCATCGTATTGCTCTGATGGTTTGTCTTCGTTTTTTTGCGAGTTTCTTGTGGGTGCGCCTCTCCTACCGCCGTCGTAGAGGTTCTGTCGATGTTGCTGCTGGACTTGTTTTGTCAGCTCCCCCAGTGCTTCGCCCTGTTTTACCATCAGCACTCGGAGTTCGTTAATTGCAGAACGCGTCTCCTCCAACGCCGGCACGGCCACGTCTGTTGCAACAGTGGTTTTTGCCACTTCACCCACTTCTCTGTTCGGAGCATCGAAATCGGCTTGTACTGATTTTTCGCGGGTCGCCGGCAGTTCAGTTTGATTACCCCTGGTGTTAACGACTGGCCTTACTCTTCCAGTGAGCCTTCCCCATGTGATAAGCCCTTTTACACCATGCGCCAGATCTACTATCATCTTCTTAATCTCTTTTTTGGTGTTGGGAGTGGAGGCCACTTCTGCATCCAATTCTTTAGACGTCGCATATATTTGTTGAAGATACTTATAGAATCGAGCGTTTGCCTCTTCCTCCGTTGCTTCGCTTCCAGTGGACGTCTGGCTGGACGCTGAGGCAATTAGTTTCTCTTGCAGAGTCCCTGCAAGTTGCTTATCTTTGCTGATGCCCGATGTAGTCAGCATAGCATTGAGCTTTTGGCTTGGTTGTGGATTGATTGATGAATGCCCCCCCCCCCCCCCAGAATCCGTGGGGCCTGTCTCCGCAGAGAGTGGATTCCCCGGCTTGGCCGGTTCACCACCTGGGGTACAATTTTCATTTTGTTTTGTTTCCATCTTTCAAACGGCTAGTAATCCACGGATCGCCGCTTCCGTCCGTGATAGCAATGCGACCCGTGAATTCATTGTCCACTGAACGCTCCACCACAAGAAGTTCAAGTTTTGATTTTTCAACTGTACAGTCAGAATTAAATACAAGTTCTTATAGTGTTCAACAAAATGAATTGGTTGGGCCAAGTTGTACTGAAAGAACTAGTCGTCCTATACGTTCAAAGCGTTGTATAAATTTTTCAAATAATACTTCAAGCTCTAGTGAAGTAATTGATGATTCTGATAAAGACCTCAATTTTATACCATTAAGTCCTTTAATTCCAGCTAACATATTTTCTTCCAGTTCAGATGAAAAAAGTGATGATAGCCTGTCCCAACCCACACAAAACCCAACAAAAGAATTCAAGTAATTACCAGTGGAATAAAATAGGTGGTGTACCAACTAAATTTACTCAATTTAAATTTAAAGAAAAATATGGGTTGAATGCAAATGTTGATAATTCAAATATTTTAAACTTTTTTGAATTGTTTTTTAATATAATATTTTATAATTTAACCGTTAGTGAATCTAATTTATATGCATCACAAATGAACACAGAGTTAAACTTATCTGTCCCAGAGCTAAAAGCAGTTATAGGAGTTTTAATTATAATGGGTATGAATGTCTTGCCTATTATGAGACTTTATTGGTAAGAAGATGTACAGAAAGATTTTCTGATTTTTATTAATTTTATTTTTTAATAATATTTTATTGTTATTCTTACAAAATATTTGTTTTGATTTATTAATTATTTACTAATTGTTAATTATAACTGTTGAAATATACAATTAATATGTAGTATATGTAGTCAGCCTTGACACGTGTGTACAATATAGTAACTAGTTATGTACGAGCGTAAGACTCACTCTCTTTACGAATGTAACATGACCTCGGTCGTGCATATATATAGGGCCTTTGATGTATGTAATATTCACTTACACAGGCGTCGTTGTACAGAGCGTATACGATGTGTGTGTACTGTCACAGTTTAATTGTCCAGTTGTACGTTATTATATATTATACTTATACATAATCATATTGTCGTGTTATTACTTATTATATTAATGCTAACATCATTAGTCCGTCAAGCTTCACTTTCAACAATAACTACAACAGTGAATCAAATTTTTATTAGTATTTTTTTTAAAGTTTTCTAATTGTTTTTTATTAATTTTGTTTTTTAATAATATTTTATTTTTATTCTTACAAAATATTTGTTTTGATTTGTTTCTTATTTACTAATTATTAATTATTATTACAACAGTGAATTTTTTTATTTTATTAGTATTTTTTTAAAAGTTTTCTAATTGTTTTTTATACTTTGATTTGTTTTATTAAATGTGTACCTTGTAACAATGATTATTTGTGTTTTGGTATACAGGATTTCATTGTTTGAATTATAATATACTGTTATTATTCATTGAAAATAATTGTTTTCTTATTTTTAAAGTGGTAAAATATTTTACCAACGATCACTAGGTGATCCATGACCCAGACAATCCTTGGTCGATTATTTTACCACCATATAAGTCAAAAGCTTATAGATAAAACAAATTTTTTTTGTCAATATTGAATACTAACACTTCCATCATATTAAAACCAACATTTTGAATTGATCGGACTACTAGCACCTTCTGCCCTATAAAGCAATTACCAGAGAACAAGTAAACAGTAAATGCACATCGTCAGCTACTCGGTTAGATGAAAGCAATGTAATTGCTAACAGGTTGGCAGACTTGGGAGAGCGTAAATTGTTGGCCAAACAAAAATATTGGGACCAAAAACTTTTACTTTTGGCTGAACAAAATGAATATTTAAAATCTATTAGGGACTCCTTGCTTTCAAACCATAATAATGAAAAGAGTAATATCATTTTTTTATAAGTTTATAAGTTTAAGTTTTTATTTATAAGTCATAACCTTATTAACTACTATTTTTTTTTACTATATTAATTTCAATTGAATAATACTATTCAACAAAACCATACAGGAACAGATCTAGTTCAAAGTTATCTTTCTATATTTTTAAATGTTTACCTATAAACTAAAATCTTTTCTTAGAATATAACACTCTAAAAGTTGACCCTTTTTAAATTAAGTACATCATTTTGAAAACATTATATGTCAATGATAATACTCATGATGTGAAGTATGATTGGCTTTCTTTATTGTTTATTTGATGTACATAAGATAGATTTAATTAAATGATATTATATACCTATTGCAGGTATGTATTATTTTTATTATTTTACAATTATTGGTAAACCTATAACATTTTGTTTATTTGTTTCTTATTAATCTTTTTATTTGTTTATTTTTTCTAGCATAATAGCAATGGTTTCCTTTCCACATTTCCATTTTATTTAATCACAATTCACAATGTTATCTATTTTTTTTATACAAATTTCTTATTTCTCCTTTATGTTTATAATTCCTTCATTATTCACTTTATCCTATTACTACAGTACCTATATTTATAGTGCTACTAACTTATCTTACTAATAGTAAAAATTACTTAATTAAAATAAAATATTTTAGACTGGATGTCAATTATTAAAAAAGTTTTAATTTATTTTCCTTGTATTAAAAACTGTTACTCGTTTTGTTCAAAATTGCGTACAACACATGCACGTCACGTCTTCCATTATCCAAATCATTGGATGAGTCATTTTCGCGTTGGCCAATGTTATTTCTGTACATGCCAAAATCAATGTCAATCATATTGTCTATAGGCTCAGGCTCATTGTATGTTATACACATATTGTGTAATACTACGCAAGCATTTATTATGGCTGTAGCTTTTTCAGGGGCATAGTGTAGAACTCTATGTTTCAGTAGGCACCTTAAATAAATGATTATGCTAAATTCTGATCATAGGTTCTAGGAACTAATTATTTTAAAAATGAATACATACCTAAACCTCATTTTTAGCAACCCATTACACCTTTCAACTAAACTTCTAGTGTGCATTTGTTTTTTATTGTACAGTTCCTCATTTGCATTGGCCGGGTTTTGAATTGGTGTTAAAAGCCAAGGTCTAAGTGCATATCCAGAGTCTCCTAGATAGTAGATACCAAGTATATTTAATCCAGTTAGCAGTTATATTACTATATAGTGTCATCCAGGATCATCAGTCATATTTGTTTCGTCATAATTAATTATTAATTGTGGTAAAACTCCAGCCAATGAATTTTCAAGGTTCTCAAAATATTGCGTTATTATATGTGGATTTATTTCTGCCCTTGACCTTTTAATATTTTCAGCTAATCTCTCGCTCAGAACAGACTTGTGACGGTTTATAAAATTTTTAGCCCAAGTGTATCCAGGTAAATTACCATTAAATCTTGGATCTTTGACACCATTATTATTTAAAAAACTCTGCACTAATAGCCTTATGTCGAGAGAAGTGAACGGAAAACCCCACTTGCTTGATAAAATTATCCCATTGACTAAACTTTCCTCGTCAACATTTGAAAGGGCATTAGGCCTACCAACTTTCAACGTATTTTTTTCATTCACTTTTCTTTGAATGGTTGATTTTGAAACCCCGTACTTCGCTGCTGCATCACGATATGTAAGTTTTTTGGATCTAACATCATTAATAGCTTTTTGTAACGACTGAGTGGAATAATTTTGATATGCTCTACCTCCAATTTTTTTTTTGTAGTTTCCCATTGTATGTCTAAATAAAAAAAAATATTTATATGTCATAGATACCTAATCAAGTTTTATATCAATAGTTTTATATTTTATATCAAGAAAAATAAAATGATGTTACATCAAAATTACATAACTTGGGACACTAATTCTAACTTGGGACGTTGTCCCAAGTTACCATAAAAACTATTAATTTTCAAAATTTCACGATAACAGCAAAAATTACATATGATTGATAACAATGAAATATTGTATATTATTCACGTGTAGTTGCTGCAACTAATGTTGAAACCCACATTTACATTCAACTAATAGCAAGCCGTGTATACACTAAGTTTTAACATGGTTTTACAACATATAATAATCTACATATCTATTTATATTTAAATAATAAGTACTTACAATGTGAGAACGTCTGCCCATCAAGACGATCGTTGTGAAAGTGATGATAAACAAATGTGTGATTATACGGAGGTGATAACAACATTTCTAGTGCTCAAATCTTATCATTGATAATACTATATAGTTTGTATTCAAGTTACCCACATGTCCCAAGTAAGGCCATTTTACGGTACAGTTCCTCATTTGCATTGGCCGGGTTTTGAGTTGGTGTTAAAAGCCAAGGTCTAAGTGCATATCCAGAGTCTCCTAGATAGTAGATACCAAGTATATTTAAATCCAGTTAGCAGTTATATTACCAGTGTTAGTAGGATAACTAATACTACCAGTGTATGCAGGATAACAAGAGGTGTAGGGTATTTTTACTTGTAGGTAATTAGAGTTAAATACATACAATGTTATTTGATGGAATAAATAGTTTATACCAGAACTGTATACTAATACTTAAGAGAACGCCACAACTGTAATTTAATCTCCAGAAAAATGTAAGTTACACATTTTGAAGGTAAATTATTTATTCGTGCAGTCATTATTTTAGATAAGTAATCCACAAGTGATTCTTTTATGGCAATAAATATTATTTTGATTGGGGTGTAAATAATGGAAAAAATTATATTACAAAAAACAAGTTTCATATGGGAAATATTTTTTCAAACAATTTCCGTCTGGTATGGCGTCCTAATATACTCAATATAGTCAATACTAATATGTATAATTGTATAATACATTACTACCTACTATACTACAGACTACAATATTGTAGTAATGTACTATGCTTCAATTTACTATAGGTACCTACCCAGCAGATAAAAACATTGTTTACGCCAATTTAATTCTTAAAGAATTGGTAGCACCATAGGCGGAAATGAGGGGAGGGGGGCTTGGGGGGACTTGGTCCCCCCAAATATTTTAATAGCCCCCCCAAAATTTTGTCGTCTTTATGTGAAAATATATGATAATATAATAATATATTTACTAATTGTACAGTACTTATTCGCGAATGTTCTCGTACGTTAGTGCTTATCGAGAACCTCCGAGAAACATTATATAATCGATAACGTCATAATATCTTTAAGATTATTCGAGAACAATCGAGAGCATTATCTCGTATCTATATATATCAGAAAAATTAAACCGTCAGTTACCAGTCCGCAGCATAGTCTCGCACGAAGTAACATGCGTCGCATTGTAAACGAGTCCGCCGCCGCCGCCGTAATAACTAATGTGTTAATCTGTTTTAATAGTGGCTACTCCCTAATTATTTTATATTTTTATATCTCGTATTTTTAAAGTGTTCTTTAACCGTTGGTGAGAC